AATTCAAGTGACTTACAAATTGTAATGTTCTAGGTTTTATTTACACATGTACATATGCATGTTGTTGGTGTTAAGTTCTGAGTCTGTTCCAACTCATAGCCACCCCGTATAGGATTTCCAAGGAGCGGCTGGTGGGTTTGAATTGCTGACCTTACAGTTCAAACCATTCTTGGGGTTCAGTGCTTTTCCCACAGTGCTACACCAGGACTCCATACATATGTATAGACTATTGTCATATAATGATTACGCAATTGATCCTTTTTATCGATCATATTTTTGGAATGCCCCTCTACCTCCCTTTTTTTCTAACTTCTTACAATGCAGTTCTGTCTGGCATGGTGCTGTGAGTTAATGCACTGGACCCCAAGGTCAGTTTGAACTGCAAAGTCAGTGATTCAAACTTATCAGCAGCTTCTCAGAAACCCTATACAGTTTCCCTAAGGATTAGAACTGATTCAACACCTCTTAACAAGTTGTTCCAAGTCCTTACTTTTAGAATCTGCATAAATCAAATGTTCTTGTATCTTTCTGATCTATTTTGTCGCTAAATACTGTTGAGTTGATTTCAATTCATAGTGACCCCAGGTGAGCGAGCAAAAGTACTTCAGTGTTTTCTTAGCTGTAATCTTAATGGCTGCAGATTAGGAGGCCTTTCTTCTATTGCACTGTGATTGGGTGGGCTTGAACCATGAATCTTTAATATCCAAGTGCTTAACCATAAACACCACCATGGATCAATAGTCAACCTTGTTGTTGCTAAATGCTGTCAAGTCAGTTCTGACTCATAACGATCCTGTGTAGGGTTTCTGAGGAGCAGTTGGTGGGTTTGAACTGGTGACCTTGCAATTAGAAGTCCAGTGCTTATCCTACAGTGCCACACCAGGACTCCTTGGGGGTGGTTGTATGCCACCAAGTCATTTTCAACTCATAGCAACCTTGTACAGTTTTTGAGGCTGTAAATCTTTATAGGAACAGAAAGCCTCATCCTTCTTCAGGGTGATTGGTAACTTCAAACTGCTCATAATCCACTATGCTACAGGACTCCTCCCAGGATTCCTTAGGTTAATATCAGCACGTTAATGTCAATCTGTTTGTCAGTTGGATAAAGTTACCATCTGACCATTACTGTCCTGGAACTTTCTACTTCTTTCCAAAAACTTTTACGTATTTCTACAATCAACTTCCGTATTGATCTTGATATTTAGGTCTTAGAAAGCCAACTCAAGTCCTACATTAACCATTGCTTCAGGGCCTCCCATTCTAACAAATGTAGAATCCTTTTGAGGAAACAAGTTGGTCAGATGGTCCTGCTTAGAGAATGAGGAGAGCCTTATACAGGCATTCATTAAACAATCAAACACACACACCTCTCATTATACCAATAGCAAGATGAATTTTCTGTCTTTCAGCCAACACTGCAAGTCTATCAATGTCAGTTTTTGAAATTGTGCTTGTCTAGGCTACACAGCGGAGCTCTGGTAGGGTAGTGGTTACGAATCGGGCTGCGAACCTTAAGGTCAGCGGTTCGAAACTACCAGCTGCTCCGCGGGAGAAAGATGAGGCTTTCTACTCCCGTAA